GTGTCTAAGCATGTAGGATCTCCCAGCTGCTTCTCCCATGGACAACCCAAGTCAATATAGACTTTCCCCCTCTAATCCTGTTCTTCCTCCTACATTGTGTTTTATTTGGTGGAGATACCGATCAGCTTGTCAACCTTGGAGACTTACGCCTTTGTGGTCTTTACCCACTTCATCTATGCAGAATCTCCAAGGCTTGCCTTTTTGCCTTCTAAATATTGCTGGAGGTGCCAGAATCATGATCAGTTTCTCTCTCTTTCTGTCTCTATTATTATTATTATTGTATGCAGAAGGTCAGAACTGAAGGGACTAGAGTTGTTATCTGGCACTGTCTCTCATGAAGCACTCTGCGGGCGCAGAGTGAAGTTCAGTGCCTTTTATAGTCACCCTTCTTACTTTTTTTTTTTTTTAAAGATTTTGTTCATTTATGCTTATAGAACTGGGATATAGGCCAGAAGTGTAGGGGTAAGAGGGTGCATCAGAGACAGGGGGGAGCAGAACAGGTGTATGTACTGAAATACACTGCTGAGGGGAGCAGCGGGCAGGTCAGGAGAGGTCTGCCACGCCATAGGATCAACTCCCTGGCCAGGGATCAAACTCGTGCTGCAGGAACTTCGGAGAGCTTCACAGTGCTATGCTTTAACCTGTTGCGCCACCGGGGAGGGCCCTAGTTCTTACTTTTTCTTAGTGTGTATTAAATGGACCTTATTGGTCTGACAGATCGTTAGATTGTGGCAAACATTAGGGAACAGGATAGGTTTATTCAGAATTTGTCCTACTTATATCTCAGGCCACCCCTAAGTGACTGTTCTTTCTTGTTCTAGGTTTGTTGTTACAGTGAAATAATCATTCTTAGGGTTGTAGACTGACTGTTAATTTGCAGTCATCTCAGCGTTTCATGCATGATTCTCATTACTGATGCTGTGACCTGTAACTAGCGACTTCTGTATGATTTTCCTGAATCCCAGGTCTTATCTTTAATTATATCCATTGTTTTATTCTTCTGCACCTACCATTAGTTAAAACTTCTTTCTCTTATATCTCTGCCATGCTTTCTGTAGACCTTTATTCCAGTAGCCATATCAAACCAACGAGTCTCTAAGCCTGTCATTTTGTTAGGTACACCTTCCTGTGTGCAATCTTGTCAAAGCGGAAACCAGGAGCTGATGAAAGGATTTCCATTGTTTGTAGTGGGTGATGTTATTGTGACATTCATGGCTTGTCTCCTGCCCTTGGGCTGTTCCTTACTGACAGAACTATTTAGATTTCACTCAGTTTTCCTGGACAGTAACACCTGTCTTTCAATCTAAAATCCTTCGATTTTAGTGTCAATTGGTGTGTTTCTCCACCCTGTTTTGAGTGATACTTTTAAACATAGATTCAGAACCACACGCAATTCGTTATCTGTGTACAGCCGCCTGGGTCTCCAGTGTCTGATATGAATAAACCCACTAGGCTTGGTATTGCAAGTTCGCTTATTACCTTAATCTTGCTACTTGACTGGGGAAGATGGGAACTATTGTCTTCTCTGTGGGTATTATATTTTATTTCCTTGTGTGGTTTGTAGAGATCGGGGTTACTGTATCTGTTGGGAGAGTGAGACTCTGCACCCAGAATCCCCCACCCACCAACACACACACAGGCTAGCTTCTTCCATCTCTGCTTGCTCAGCTCTTCTCTGGCTCTTGGAAAGGGAGCATTTGCTTCCCAGCAGGCCCTGTTCTGCCACCGTGCTTCCTCCCCACAGGAAACCAGAGCCTGCGGCTGCCAGCTGGCCCAGGGAGGGCTCTATCCTCCTCTCTCCCTTCTCTCAGTTACATTCACAGTGGCCGTTGGGGGGCATTCTGTGCAGTCCTCCCAGTCTTAGGTTTTTTTTTGTTCTTGGTCCCTAAAGAAATTGAAAGCCAGTATAGAATATGACAGTGGTGTCCAAGAGCTAAGGTCCCGTCTTGGAGAAATGAATCACACTTTGGTTTTATTCATAGCAGCCAAATTACCTACCCCTGGTTTATGCAAGAAAAGACATTTTCTTATAAGAATACTCCCCTGGACGCTCCTCCAGTTTCCATGTAACTATTTTGTTTCTTCATTTGTATTTTATTTTTGCCATTTGTTTTGGGCTGGGGGAAAGGGAGGTGTTATAATAGATGATTTTGAATGAATGTGAGTGAAAAAGAATGCCTACAATTTTCCTGTCCTGATATACATTTTTCATGTGGGAATTTTAATCAAAATGTAAAAGAATGTTTCTTCTAGTCACTGAGAAAAGCTTATAGTTTATTACTGGAAAAAAAAAGCAGCTTGTAATATTTTAACCTCCAAGTCAATACATGGCACGCATGCATTTTTTTTTTTAACCTGCTGCCATCCTGTTTAATCTCTCTGTAACCTGATTTTCGGACTCTAGAGACCGGAAATCTTTTCAGAATGCCGCATGAACTGTTCTTTCTGTGCCTGTGTTAAAGTTGTCTACTTGTCTAGTGCTGCCCTCCGGTGACTGTTTCCTGAATTACAGGTCATAGATTTTTGCAAGTTAACCTGGAAGGGGAGGAGGAGAAGCCATGTAGGCAGTGTTGTTTTGTTTATAATCATTTTTTAGCTGTCAAAAAAAAAATGTTAATCCTAGTACCCTTTTCATTATAGAACTTTCCAGGGGATAGAAGTTAGTCCTGATTCAGAAACTCAGATATGCATACTTTATATCCACCAGCGGCTTAAGTATATTTCCAGGTTAAAGTGAATAGCAGCCATAGAGAGTTTAGCCAGCTGATGAAAAGTTTTCCTTTTGACATGCTCCTATTTAAAATATCCTTTTGGCCCTCCCTGGTGGCGCAGCGGGTTAAAGCACAGCATTAAGAAGCGAAAGCCACTTCCGCATGAGTTCGATTCCCACCTGCCCCGGAGGTGACCACATGGAGTGGCAGACCTCTCCTGACCCGCCCGCTGCTCCCCTCAGCAGTGTACTTCCTCGATCTGCCTGTTCTGCTCCCCACTCTGTCTCTGGTGAATCCTCTCACCCTCCGCATCTCTGGCCTGTACCCCAATTCTATATGAATAAATAAATCTTAAAAAAATAAATAAAATATCCTTTCTGCTCTAGATGAAAGTCTTGCAGCCCTCTGAAATCTCTCTTGTTCCCAGGCTGAGGTCAGAATGGCTTTTTGTTGGTAACAGGCCACTATCATGCCCCTATAATATCTTTCTGACGCTTACAGGAGTTGGGGGACACAAGTGAACCTTCACTGGCGTTTTATTCCAAGCAGTGAAAACTGAAAACCTGACTCCTCTTTAGAATCTGTCTTGCATGTGAACACATTTCTCAGGGTCTATCTGAGTGAATGATAACTAACATTCTGTATTTGGAAGTTCCCTGGGACCTAAGATAAGTTTCTAGGTTGGTCTTGGCGACAGGGATTGTGGACAGGGGTCTTGTGAGATGGCACAAGGGTGGCATGTTTACTCTGTGCCTGCTCTAAGCGTGAAAGGCGCTGCTCTATTGTTGGCAATGGTCTGGGAAGGTGTAAGAACTTCATGAGCCCACACAAGTCAAACTGTCTAAAACCCATAGTCGACTGCAGGCCCACACCCTTCTAGAACACCAAGAGGACTGGTCAGTGGGGAGCGGATGGTCAGTGGTGGTTCCATGATGATAATTCCGGTGATTTTGACAATTCTGGACTGTGCTGTGGATTTGGTCTAGGGCTCCTTTCCAAGAGGGCCGCTCTGCTCTGTAGTGCAGGCAAGAGGTGGGGCAGGGAGGGGGCGTACCTAGGGGTGGGGGCAGAATCTCAGGGTCCCTGGGTTGGCCCTAACGGGCCTTTATCAGTTTGCTACTGAAGATGGACGCTGGAAGTACACAGCTATAGGAGAGAAGGAATGGATGCCTCAGTGAAACTGAGTGCCGACTTTTATTTTGGTTCTCATGGACAGTTCTAGAGAACACAGGCAGGAAACACTGTCCTGAACTCTGCCCTTCTGCAGGGGGATGGCTGGAAGGAGGAGCTTCATGCAGATGTACATTTTTATTCTCTTAAAAAATATGGCGGGCCCTCCCGGGTGGTGCAACAGGTTAGAGCACAGCACTATGAAGCTGTTGGAGGCACTGCAGCATGAGTTCGATCCCCAGTCCCCGGCCAGGAGGTGACCCACATGGTATGGCAGATCTCACCTGACCTGCCCGCTGCTCTCCTCAGCAATGTATATCAGCCAATCTGCTTGTGGCATAGATAACTGTTTAATCTGTGTGACGAGTCCAAACATCTGCTATCCTGTCCTTCTGCCTCTCTATTGAAATCGTTTATAATTAAAGTTTAAAACACTAACAAAGGGCGGACACAATTTTGTCCTCTGTAGTAATATCCGGTTGCAAAGTGGCTCAGGACTCACACCTTACTTCACAAACTGAGTTGCTTTGAAATGGTTTTCAATCAAAGGCAATACATGGCTTCAAGGTGTCCCCTGAAGTCCATGTTGGGGTGCCATTGCCTCAAAGTTGCCCATGGGTGTAACATTGCAAATTGCTGCAAAGTCAGAGTTCTGTATGTCAAGTGTTCTTTTGTGTGTTCAGCAGAGGGGGAAGTAGGATTATTGGCCACCACGGCTCTTTCATTAAAACCATGAAATTCAGCTGGAAGAATTTCATAGCATTCTGCAGGCCTCTCATGGTTTGCAAATGATCATTCTGGGGAAGGAAACACAAGATGAGGGTCATCATCAACATTTCTACCATCCTTTCTGTTACTGAAAGCGTCTTTATTCATGATCTCAGTGGATGAATCCAACTTCTCTGAGAAGAAACAGATGCAGAGAAATTAAGTGATTCACTTAAGTGTAGAGCTGTTGAGTAACAGCCCAGGTGCTCACCCTGGCTCAGATTTAGAACTTTCTTCTCCTTTTCTTTTTTTAAAGACTTATTTATGCACACAGAACTGGGGTACAGGCCAGGGGTGCAGGGGCAGTGAGAGGCTTCACCAGAGACAGAGTGGGGAGCAGAACAGGTAGGTCGTCGAAGTACACTGCTGAGGGGAGCAGCGGGCGGGTCAGGAGAGGTCTGCCGCGCCATGTGGTCACCCCACTGACAGGGGATCAACCTTGCACTGAAGCAGCAGCAGCCGGCTTCATGGTGCTGTGCTTTAACCCATTGCGCCACCAGGGAGGCCCTCAGACCTAGAACTTTCTCCTCTCTGTACCGCCTTCCTCCTCAGCCATTGTGCTCCTGGGAGCTCACATACCTGTTCATGAGACCAAGTTCTTTCTGAACCGTCCTTGATGCAGATGTCCAGCCTCAGCTCAGTTCCCGTGGCTCCGTGTTTGCTGTCGACGCAGAGATTGGCCGCCACGTTGCGAATCTGTGAAAAGAAGAAAGAAATGAGCACGAGGGTGTTTCTTCTTGACCCTAGCTCCCGGTGGTCTCTGTCGAGATTGGATAGTTGCTTGTTTTTTTTTTTTTAAAGATTTATTTATTTATGCATACAGAAGTGGGGTACAGGCCAGAGGTGCAGGGGTGATGAGATGATTCACTAGAAACAGAGTGGGGAGCAGAACAGGCAGATCGACAAAGTACACTGCTGAGGGGAGCAGTCAGCGGGTCAGGAGAGGTTTGCTGTGCCATGTAGGTCACCTCCAGGGCCGGGGATCAAACTTGCACTGAAGCAGCTGCTGCTAGCTTGCAGTGCGGTGTCCTAACCTGTTGCGCCACCAGGGAGGGCCTGGATAGTTACTTTTTCAATGATGTGATTGTTAAGTGATGCCCTCAAGTTATATGCCACTATGAAGAAACACCAGAAAATTAACTGTGAAAGGTCAGAAGGTGGCTGCACCAGAGGAATGTCTGAGAAAGCAGCTCAAGACGTAGAGCTCAAGACGTCTGTGGGATGGGCTTGTTTTGCAGGTAGTTCTGAGCTTGGAGTTTGTCACTTTCCTGCTTCAAAGCATCTTCTGTCATTACAGCCTCAGCTGGGAGAGAGGCTGTCATGAGGCAGGGGATGCGGGTCTGGTGAAGGGTGGAAGAGAGTACACCCTGAGGTTAGCAGGCTCTGTGAGGATGTGGGGACCCCGTCCTTCTGCCTGTCATCATGCTGTAGCGTTTCTCCTGGAGGATGAATTAAACGTCACCCTAGACTCAGCAAAACAGAAAGGGAGCACGTTGGGGGCAGTCTCATACTGGAAGGAGACCTGCCAACGAGTCTGAACTTTGCAAAGTTGCAGAATGAGAACAATTGGGTCTAATTGTGTTAACGCGGATATATAGACCTGAATAGTGAGGGCTGGGAGAAGTAGTAGCAGTGGAAAGGATTTGCATGTAGACACAGTTCTGTCATCAAATCTTCCCGACTGAGGACTCCCCGGTTCCAGGGCACCAGAACCACCTCCCGCGGTTGGGGTGGGAACTGTGCATAGTGGGCGAGTGCTTACGTGAGCCCAGTTCCCTTGATCCCTTTTCCACCTTTGTATAGGTTGGGATTATAATGTCCCTCTAGGTCCTGTTAGAACAGGAACAAGGAGAGCTGGGCACCAGCGGTCAGAGTGGCTGAGGGCCTTTTGCCCAGAACTGTGGTAGGGTAAAGTGCCTGGAGTTGGTGCCAGGAGGCTGAAAGAAGGTTCATGTGAAATAGCCTGGGTCCTATGAAAGGAATGTCTGGAGGCTGGTGGTGGGAGCTCTTTCGCATTTTGCATGCTGGAGGAGGAGAGGGTGAATGCCGCTTAGGAGAGAGACAGTGTAGGGATAGCTCCCCTCACCTAGGGACTCTGCCGGCAATGTGGGGTGGTCTCCCACGAGGGGACCGCTACTCTCAGGGGCTCTGCCGTGAGGACAGGCGAGCGAGAAGCAAGGTAGGATGTGATGTAGAACTGTGGTTCTTAAGTTGGTGCAGCGTACAGACCTCTCTGGCCACGAGGGAAAGCTGTGGACACCGTTGCTACAACAAACAGAACTGTGAGTGGCTACAAAGAAGCCTTCTGCCTTTATGTTCCTGGCACCCATAGGCTCTGCAGTTGATCTTGAATTAGGGGAACTGCTTGCTTCCCTCCCTTTGCAAGAGGATAGCGCCTCTTTTCCTGGTAGTTCAAAAAATCCCGAAAGATGGGCAAGAACTTGGCTGGTGTGAGAGAGCTTCCTGACTGGCTCATCTTCCTAGAACAAGCGCCAGGGCAGAACTTTGCTGGAGGAGTTGTAGAACCAAGCTCAAAAAATAAAGAGATCTTTAGTACAATCAACTCTCTGCTGTGCGACAGTTTCTTTGGAGAAATGGAACCACCCAGAAGCTGAAAAATTTGGTTTTGCTCTCACTGTCTTGAGCCTGGCACAGACTCTCTAACAAGCTCCTGTTGATCTTATCCGAGTCCCTGGTGTCCATTTTCTAAAGCGTCCGCCGCCCAGGAGCCGCGGGACAGAACCCTGGACAGCGCTCGCTTTTCATTCTCGGGCCATTAAACTCGCAGACACACTCTTCTTAGAAATTCAGTATCAGCTTATGCCAAAGACTTCTGCAGGTGCTCTCTGCTCGATCCTGGGAGTTTTGAGCCATGGTTAGAGAGAAAAAAGCAAGTGCTTATCACTTTCCCGTCTCCTGGCCCTCCGCGGTGCGCTGGCGTAGCTCTGCTACTGGAGGACCTCTGCCCGCGGACAAGGGGGACGGCGTAAGAAGGACCCTGTGCAAGCCGGGGCGCAGGGGCCATGTCTGGCAAACCTGCCGTGGACACGCACCGCAGCCCTTCAAAGAGCCTTGCTTTGCTTCTGAATGCTGTGAGCTGAGACAGCTCTGGCAGCGCTGTGGGAAAGCATTTTCCAAACTCTTGAATTTTGTAAATTCTCACTCAGATGGTCTCTGTAGAGACAATGGGATAAACTGCGTTGGGAGCCAAATTTCAAGTTTCAAAGGCGTAATTGTCTACATCTGTGTAAATTTCAGCAAATAGTTGTGCCAGAGAGGAAATGCTGAGAGTTTAATAGAGGACGAATTCGGCACCTGGACCCAGGATTAATGGCAAGCATCTTGCTTCTCTCCCCTCAGTGCAAATTGGTGGCCTCTTTCTTGCTCACAAACACGGCGCCGTCAAAAATAAAGCAGAGAATAAAATGCCAGTAGAATGGACTTTCATCCTTGTTTAATCATTGAGATAATTTTTTTTTTAATTTTAAAGAAAATTGACAAGTGAGTCCTCCTTGTGGCGCAGGGGTTAAAGACGCAGCACTATCAAGATGTCACCACCCACTGCGGCATGAGTTCGATCCCAGGCTGGCCAGGAAGCTGATCCACATGGCACAGCAGACCTCTCCTGTCTCACCCACTGCTCCCCTCAGCAGTGTGTTTCCGTAGATAAATCTGATGAATGTGCTGAAGAAAATGGGACACTGAGGCCCCCTGGTGGTGCAGTGGGTGAAAGCACAGCACCAGGAAGCTAAAGCCACTTCCGCATGAGTTCGGTCCCCGCCACAGAGGTGACCCATATGGTGCAGCAGACCTCTCCTGACCCACCCACTGCTCCCCTCAGCAGGGTACATTCTCAGTTAGCCTGTTCTGTTCCCCACTGTGTCTCTGGTGAATTCTCTCACTGCCCCTGCACTTCTGGCCTGTACCCCAGCTCTATATGCATAAATAAATAAATCTTAAAAAAAAATTGGAGGCTGAAAGTTAGCGTCAACCAGTGCCTGATTGTCTTTCAGGAAGCTTGGCAGGGACTGGCAAGATATACCAGGGAAAAGAAGAAGGAAGAAGCAACCTTTTGGGGTGGGGAGACATGAGTGTAGAATTCCAGATAAACGCTGTCCTCATTCATTCGAGACCCCAGATGAAGAAATTGTGAGGTGCTTTTAGAAGCTAAGAACAGTATATGAGGGCCCTCCCTGGTGGCAGAGCAGGTTAAAGCACAGCACTAAGAAGCTAAAGCTGCTTCTACATGAATTCGGTCCCACTTGCCCGGGAGGTGACCCACATGGCGAGGCAGACTTCTCCTGACCCGCCCGCTGCTCCCCTCACCAGTGTACTTCATGATCTGCCTGTTCTGCTCCCCACTCTGTCTTTGGTGAATCCTGTCACTGCCCCTGCACCTCTAGCCTGTACCCCAGTTCTGCATGCACAAATAAATCTTAAAAAGAAAAAAAGAACAGTATATGAATACAAAGCACACAGTGATGTCTTTACCTTTACATTTCGTGTGGACGGGTCTGCCTCAGGGTCATCTCGCCATTTTTGCCAGAGCAGATCTGTTCCCTCTCTGATTGCTCCGTGCTGGCGGCGCCCAGTGACTGCTGGCAGAGACCATCTCCTCCCTTTCCTTGAAATTATGCCCACAGAGGTTTCCTTCCTCTCTTCTGCATATTTTCCTTCTCTGAATTCACTATAAATGTAATTGCCTTGGCACCTCGCTCTTGCCCTGGGAGTTACTACGGCTACACATTTCAGAATCCTGCTTATATTATGCAGGAGAAAGCTGAGCCCATGGAAAAAGTATTACCATCAGGCCTTAGCTGTGTGTGAGTTCTGCTCCCAGCGGTCTGTTTCCTAAAACTGTGTCCTGCTACTTGAGGTTACGTATTATTCGTATGGTTTGTGAGATGTATACAGCATCAGAATACAACTTATAATATATTGGTTAACTCTCAGAAATAATTTGATTTTCACAAGTAGGTAAAGGGAGATTTATATAAATATGTCATTTCTTTTTAAAAATTTATTTATGGGGTGTAGGCTGGAAGTGCAGGGGTAGTGACAGGATTCACCAGAGACAGTGGGGAGCAGAACAGGTGGATCGACTGAAGTCCACTGCTGACGGGAGCGGCAGGGGAGAAAGGAGAGGTCTGCTGCACCCTGTGGGTCACCTCCCTGGCCGGGGATGGAACTCATGCTGTAATGGCTGTGGATAGCTTCATAGAGCTGCCACTTAACCCCCTGTGCCACCAGGATAGTCTCAAATACGTCATATGTTATTGGGTTAAGATAAGCAACGCTTCCTGGTGGAAGAGGGGAGGTAGAGTGCCTACTTCATCCTAAACTGGGCGCTTCTACGATAATTTCACACCTCCGAGTCACCCTTGGAACTGAGGCTCTGGGAAGCAAGTTGTTCGTTCAAGGTCATTCAAGGTAGAGGGCAGGGCGGGTAACACCTCGGATACCCAGAATCACATTCTTCACGCCCCTCATGGCGATAGTTACACTTGGTTTGCCAGAACAGTGCAATTTGGGTTGCTAAATTGTGGCACCCCACAATTGCTCTAAACTGAGATCAAAGGAGTTATGGAGAGTAAAGATGCAATCCTTGGGTTTAGAAAAGAACTATCCAGGTTTATGATTGGGGTGGAGTGTGACTGGAGAGATAGGGTGAAGCAGGATTAGAAATAAAGTCATTT